TTAAGTGGGAGAACTTGCACAATTGATGGCTGACTAAATACTTTTTTGCCCCACTGTATTGGTTGTTTTCCTCTTCTTTAACCCCCTCTATTCTTGCATTATAATTCTTTCTGATCCACCATCATCTGTTCATGTCACACACCCAAAGTATGTGGGCTTCTGCTTGCTGGTTACTGAAGGAAGCAGTCTTTATGTGGTCTGAGAATGTTTTGCATTGTTGGAAGAGCAAATATAGTTCTGCTGGTGTTGGCCACTGTTGTATTTATTTTAAATCACCAAGATAATACATTACAATATTGGCCTCTGAATTAAAAATATACCGTGGCAAAGAAGTACAATGATTACTCAGTTATGTCAGTGTCATTAACAAGTGTGCTATTTATACAACCCATTTTATATAGACATACAGATAAGATTATTGGTAGAAGGGGACAAAATTACCAACACGTACTCTAATAAGTACTTGTGTGCTGGATAAATGTAATCTGAAATAGGACTGCAAGAGATTATTTGAATTATCTCAAATACATTAATAACATCTGTATATAATTGCCTATAAAACAATGGCAAAAGCATAGTGGACTGGAGTATTGGCTTGTCTTAACTTATGAGGATAAGTATAATTTAGTTCTAAGTTTTATCAAAGCCCTTCCTGAGAAATGTATACGGACCACCATTTAACTATAAAATGATTTCAATTTCTACTTTCAGTATGGGACTTCCCTTTCCTCTTTTTGGCACCCCTGTACACCACCCAAATAGGCACTGAAGTATCCTCCAACTTCTGAAGCAGCTCTCAGAAGGGTTTGCATAGGACTGCAAGGTGAAGGGGGATTCTATTCCACCTCTAGTCTCCAAATGACTGACAATGTATATTTTATAAATTCAGTCCAACAACAGATCTACCTGTCTCCAATTTGTTTTAATTAATCTGGGACCTCAGTAAAAGAGAAGATAACCAGCAGCCAAAACAGATCTCTACAATAAATACTTCTCAGCTGAAAATGTTAAGCTGCTAGAGTTACTGATTTTGTGTTAACTCCTGGATACCTTTACCTCACAGACATTTTAATTTTAGTACATCGCACAAATATAAAGATTAAAATAAGTAAAAATAACAAGATCAGAAGAATAGAAAATATATTACTATTCAGAATTCTTTTTGATGAGCTGAAGGCAATTCTGACAACTTGCTACAACTGAATCCCACTTTCTAAAACTCTTTTCAAATTTAGAAGCAAATTGTAAGATCTGTAAAAGTATCCCATTCTCCATAGAATATGGCATTCCATAGCAACTTGAGTAGTGGTAAATAAGATTATTCACAGCTTGCAAACTAGTTTTGAATTATGTAAATCATTTCCCACTATCCTCAAAACAATGATGGGCTACCTTTATTATGGGTAATGCATTAAATAATGACAGAATATCAACCATTTTGGACAGGGGATTACTCCCAAGCACTGGCTAATGCTTAAACATTCTAATTTCATGAAAGCCAAGGCTTTACACTCTGTAGGTAACATCATTAATTTCCTGCATAAGTATGCTATCTTGACCTATGACTTTTCATGGTTTGCTCCCACAGGTTCTATGTACCAGATGAGTGATGGATTCCTAGGGCTCAATTTAAGTAATGAAATATTGGGGGTGAGAGTTTAAAAAATCCCTCAGGCCCATCCTTGATCTCCTCCATACCCAGTTTTAGCCAAATGATGCACACACCTCTTTGTAAACTCCTAAAATCACTATGTAAAATCAATTTCACAAAAGTTAACGTAGGTTAGACAGTGCTCAATTATAGGGGGCTCAGCACTCTTAGCTTGTACAGTCATGTGAAAAAAAAAAAAGTATACCCATGTAAAGTATTTTTCTTTTTTAACATATGTGAACATATTGATATTTTATCTTCATTCAGACAGTATATAAAAATAAAGGTGATGTAACTGAACAAAAAATCTATGAAAATTGATTTTGCAATCATTTATTCAACAAAAAATTAACAGATATGCCATTTCCTTCTGTGGAAAAAGTAAGTACAACCTTTGCTCTAATATCTGGTATTGCTCCCTTTGGCAGAAACAGCCTCAAGAAGGCGATTCTTATAACTGTTTACCAGTCTCTGACAGACTGGGAAGATATTTTTCCCATTCCTCCATGCAGAATTTTTTCAGCTGTAAGATGTTTGAGGGGTTTCTTGCATGCACAGCCTGTTTCAAATCACCCTACAGCATCTCAATGGGATTTAGATCCAGACTTTGACTTGGCTATTCCAGAACCCTCCTCCCCCCCCCCACCCAGCCATTCCTTGGTGGATTTACTGGAATGTTTAGGGTCATTTTCATGTTGAAAGGTCCACTTTTGGTTGAGCTTCAATGTTCTGACAGATGATCTCACATTATCTTCAAGCATTCTCTGGTACAATGATGAATTTCTAGTGGATTCTATGATGGTGAGCTGCCCAGGCCCTGATGCAGCCCCAAACCATAACATTTCCACTACCATGCCTTATAGTTGGTATCAGGTTCTTCTAGTGAAATACTGTCTTTCATTTTTGCCAAAGATGTCTTCTGGTACTGTGGCCAAGTAACTCATCTTTGCCTTGTCTGTCTTTGTTTTGTCTGAAACTTTGTTTCAGAAATACTGGTCTTTGCCTAGGTGTTCATGAGCAAACTTCTGACTTGCCCTGGTGGTCTTTCTGGATAGCAAAGGTTTCCTCCTGGTATGCCTCCCATGTAGATCTAATGTGAGCAGCTTCTTTCTAATGGTAGATACACACTTTGACATCAGTAGTAGAGAGAGCAACCTGTAGGTCATGTGATGAACTTCTGGGGTTCTTAGAGACTTCTTTCAGCATCTTGTGTTCTGCTCTCGGGCTGAACTTGCTGGGATGGCCCAGCCTGGGCAAATCTGCAATTGTTTGAAATCTTTTCCACTCGTAGATGATCTTCCAGACAGTGGAATGAGTGATGTCCAATTGTTTTGCAATCTTTTAAAATCCCTTTCCAGACTCAAAGGCATCTATAAACCTCTTTCTGAAGATCTCAGAGAGCTCTTTTGATGTAGACATGATGATACCATACACTTCAACAATAAAGAGCAAATCAAACCAAATGTCTGAGGTTTCAATAAGACAGGTTCCTTCTAGATCCTCTCTAACAATCTTTGGCACTTGAACTGGTGCACCTGATTTTAATTTTAGGTATTTGAGATAATGATAAACGTGTGTATTTACTTTTTCCACAAGTGAAATTTGCATTAATGTTTATTTAAATTACACAATGGACTACAAAATGTAAAAGGTGCATGGTATTTGCTATATTATATTTTTTTATCTATCAATATTGTTGAAATGAAGATCAAATATTTGTATGTTGAAATATGTTGAAAAAAATCAAAAGTTTCAGTGGAGTGTACTTACTTTTTATAAAATCTGTATTAGCTACTATTATTGTCATAAAGACAATACTATATTATTTGCAGATTCAATACAACTTGCAACATAAACTTTCAGGTCTCTGGTGAACAGTTATAATGCTCCCCCCCCCAACCCCCAGAATTTTTTGATTAACATAGCATGCAAACAGAACACACAAAAATGCTTTGTGAATATATAACAAACTCATTCTAGGTTTGAACAATGAAATAAAACAGGAACTACATCACTATGAAAAGTTCAGAATATTATGTATGAACAATGGAAAAAACAATGACAAAAAGGTCATTGCTTTATTTAAAGCAGAAAAGCTCATGTAAGCATGCAACCTTTTCTTAACCTGTTACAATTTTAAGAAATAGCATGTGTGCATGAGTATATATAAAACAAGTTTTTATCAGATTTTCTCCTTTTTCTTCAAATCAGTTTTCAGTACTGCCTTCTGGCAATTTACAAGATTCCATCATTTTCATAGACTATGGCTTTCAGCATGAACAATGTATTCTTTATAGGATTCCATCTTAATTTTATCTTTTGCCATATCTCATGATGCAGAAAATATGTTGATATTTAGTTTTTGACTTTAGTTGATGGCTGCTACAGCAATGAAGCTTTGTGTTACAGGAATTTCAAATTGCTTATTTAGTGAGTTAGATGTAGTGAGCTAGGTAGATTTAGTGAGTTAGATTATCAATATATATTTACTTTGAATATAAAATGTAAGTTATACATGTTTGAGTAGAATGTGTTCATTAATTTGGTTTTTATAGCAACAAAGGACTTATTTAAATTGAAAAAACAAAATAATAGAAAAGTGATGAGACCTGATTAAAATTACGAATCCAGAACCTCCAGTTCTAAGCTAGTATCATGAGGACAGATGCTGTTCCTTTGAATAATGAAAAGTTAATTGTACATATCAGTGAAGGGCTAGAACAATTTTTACTCATCAACAATCTGTAGCAAATAGAAGAGTGATCAATTTTACAGAGCCCTCTGTACCAAGGAAGGATACAGAGAGAAAGTAGAATCCATTATCCAGGAATCTGTAAAGCACAAGACACTGCCAAAGGCCACTGAAAATATTTGCCCGTACATTGATTTGGTGAAGTCTAAGGAATCAATTCATCCTTTTTCTGATGATTAATACTTATTATTAGATCTTCTTATGATTTGAATATGACAGGAAACCAAAGAACCTGGTTTCCTTCCTGCCGCTCCACTGCTAAAATATGCATGCACTGCATCAACCTTCCTGTGCACTTGAAAAGATGAATGGATGGAAAATGTATTCACGATACTGGAATATCCTAGGGATACTAGGGCGCTAATTATAGAGTCCACCTACCCTAGGAGAAGTGGCAAGGAGAGGGGAAACAGGTACAAATATTAGTAATGCAGAGTCCAAAAGAGGAGTGATCATTTTGGTGCAGTTTACAGTATTTCTAAAAAACACAAATTCTGAAGTTTTTCACACAAGTAGCTCTGCTTCAAACAGTGTATTATTCAGCAAGAATTACTTACGTCTGTGGAGCTGGGGCTAGGCAAGGACACAGGCTGAACAGTTGCAGGGAAAGTAAATGTGGTCTCTGTCTTTTCATTTTCAGGGGAGTCAGGATGACTGGACAGAGGGGATGTGGGGGTCAAAGCCCCAAATCCCAGCACAGTGTTGTATTTAGGTGGACGACCTACACATTAACAGAAGGGAACAAAAAGGGGAGGAAAATAATCTTACATACCTTTGGACATTGCTCCTCATTGGCTAGCATGAAAAAGGAAGTGATGTAGTACAGAGAGGTAGTTAGTATAATAGTCACAAGTGAAAGGAAGCCAAGTAAAGATTCTAACATTAATTTTAGACATTTACAAGAATAATTGCAAAAAGGATATTATGAGAAAATAATGCAGCACTTCAGGATGGTAAAGATGGCTACTCCTAACATTTGTATGCTCATTTCAAGTTTTAATGTCTTGAAAGTTCAATCTTTCCCTCCACATCAAGCCCCCAACTGGCTTCTATCAAAAGTTGCCATGATTCATACCTCTTAGATTGACTGAAATATCTTCATAATTCTTAAAACAGTACCTACTAATACTTGATTCATTTTCTAAGCCTCATTTCCTCTTTTTCTTAGAAATCTGAGAAACTCAGACATTATTTGGAGGCTATCTATAATGTTTTCATTTAGGCAAAAATATTGATACCAGAATTATTTGGGAAATACTACTGGTTTATTAATGTTTGAATAATCTTTTACATCTTTTAAAATCATAAAGCATTCTGAGTCTAGATCAATCATACATTTAAAGAGCACTTTTGTTGTCCATAAAATAACGACGACATAAAAATGCCCAGCTAAATCCACTCTTTATCTGATTGATCAATATAACAGACTATGATGGAGACCTTCAACAGAGCAAATCTGGACACAGAGCTCACAATAAAGCAAATTATTATTCTAATTGAAAACATAACACTCTAGTCTTTTTCTAACAGTTTTCTGATGATTGATAAACAAAATTACAGACTGAAAGATGGAAGCATGGAATTAAGTATTCATAGGTAATCTTTTTTTTTAGTTAGGTTGCACCAAACAGGTGAAGCATGGTAGAAACCAACATAAAAGGTTGTGAGAACAAAATGCCAATAGCAATGGGAAAAAGAAGTATACCAAATGCACTTTAGTTATAATGACAACTTTTGGAAAAAGAAAAACCTGCACAGCGGAACCTGCAATGAACTCTTGAGCCTTTTAATCACTCACACTCATATATACATTCATGTACACTATTATAAGCACAATGTCTCAAGTTCATCATTACACATTTTAATTACAAAGTATTGTTTTAAAATTACAGCTTGTATTATTACCCATTTGAAGTTATTAACTTTATTTTTAAACAAGCCCAGCAGCAGGGGAACTATTAAAAAACATTAAGGAGAATCAGGGCCAGATATTACATAATGCTCATTCAGCTCTATTGTGCGACTAATAAAAAAGCACCCATCACATTGGATTACATCAGCAGTATTTTATATCCAAAACAAAACCGAAATGCTTGAAGAAGCTCTTTTAGGCATATCATTAAGAAAGTATTTTAAGGAGTACATGATGTAAACAACCAGGGCTGGGCCATCCACAGCCCACATGCAGCTTCTCAACACTATGTCATCAAATTGCCAACTGTTGATAGTGCACACTTTCTTTTTGCAAATTTAAATTGGGAATGGGAACGGCAGATCTCAGGGAGGGAGCTGCTTCCATCCTCGCTCTTAAATCCTGTACTATCCCCCCAAAAGGCCTGAAATCAGCCTGGAAAAAAAATCAGTTATTTTTCTGAGTTTGGGGTTTTTAAGGGTCAGAATGGGAGTGTTTTATCTCACAGAGGAAAGGATTGGGAAAAAGCCTACCAACACTGAAATGCCATAGTACAAATATATAATTACTTCTGTATCTGGAATATTGTGTATAGTTTTTGTTACTGAATTTGAAAAGGGTTATAAAAAAAGTAGGAAAAATACAGAAGAGGGCAACTAAAAATATCAAGGGGCTCAGACACCTTTCTTCTGAGGAAAAAATAGAATATTTGGAATTTTTTTAGCTTGGAAAAAAGCAACTAAGGAGTAATATGATTGGGATGCGTAAAACCATGTATGGCATAGAAAAATAAGGCATTTTTCTTTTTCTCTCAAAACCCTAATGTTGGAAACTTTTAGACTTAGCAACCAGAACTTAGTTCCACTTTCTGTTCAGCATGACTACATTTCTTCACTCGTCTTAATGTTTGTCTTTCCTTATGACTATATGAGACAACATACACTCATTCACCAAATGACTCCATTATTGGCCATTTTGATAAATCTCCATGACCGTGCTTTCTGTTGGTTCCTTATCTTAGCTCAAAGCCTTCCTTTTTTGCTAGATCTTTTATTTCTTCTTCGGTTCAATGCTATCTCTACCTTTTGCCCTTATTAAAGATTATAACCTTTTGTTCCTTGTTGTTTGGCTACGTGCCAATTTCTCTGTTGATTTAGAGACCCCACAATGTTTTATCTTCACTCTCTCCATCTGGCTGGTACCTTACAGACCTGACAGTTAAGATACACAGTCCTCAAATCAATACCTATATGTTTTTGTGATGAAGGCTTATATACTGAGCTTGTGATCCTTGGGGGCCAACCTGGACAAGTCATTCCTTCCAACCTCATTCTAGTCTTTGTCAGTTAAGCTTTGGCTTCTCACTCTATTACAATTTTATGAAATATGTATGCTAGGCTGTATTCTATACAGCTGAAGGTAATTTGTAGATTATTTTGTGTAGCTCTTTCCATATTTTACTCATCCTTTCTATTAACTTGCACTTTAATTATGTAATTATGTAATTATGATGTTTCTTCTTTCACATAACTAGCAGTGAGCAGGTTACCTATGTGGGAAATTAAACCTTGCAGTATCTTGCAGTACCCCTGGAAATAAACCTAGTTAAGTATTGTTTTAAGTCAACATGCTCTGTCCATCAAGAAAGAAGAATCACTTTTTCCACATATGTTCAGAGTCAATTACATCCATTATTATTTTTAAATTGATCACAAACACTGCCACTTCACGATCATATATAACACAAGGGTTGGGAGCTGTAACTCAGATATGTCCTTGTTGGTATGTTTTCTATGTGCTGTTGAAAGGAATCTATTTTAGATAGATTATTGCAGGGTATTATTGGGTGTATCAGGAAGCCTCAGTAAGGTTCAAGTCTCTTGGTCCCAACTGGAGTTGTTCTAAAGCACATGTTAAGACATATGTATGTAATTATTTGTAACAAGGAAACAAAAGCACCATCCTGCATAGAGCATGAGAGCTTAATTAACATTTTTCAGTGTTGTTAATTGTATGATTTTTTTTTAATGACTCATTTATTTGTATTTGTGTTTGTGTGTGTGTTGTTAAGTACGGCATCATTATTCAGCAAACATATTTCCTATGCTGGGTTTTTTTTGCTAAGCAACAGTTTGTAGGAAATATTGCTTTAATTCCTACACTAGAACCAGAGATCAGCTAATGAAGCTGACAGGAAAGAGATTTAGAACAGACAAAAGAACTTCTTCACACAGTGCAAACTTAATCTGTGGAATTCATTACCAAAATATGTGGTTATGGATGCTAACTTGGATAGCGTAAAAACAAGACTGGATAAACTACTCTATTAATCTTAAAGATTCTATGCCTCAACTGTGTTGAGTAAAGTGTACCTCCAAATATTAATTGCAAAGGGAGAACAGCAGGAGAGGGGAATGCCTCCATCTCCTGTATGTGACCACCCTGGAAGCATGAGACTGGCCACTGCGAGAAACAAAATCCTGGACTAAGATGGACCTTGGCTGAATCCAGAAGAGCTATTTTCTATTTACATGATTATTTAATATATTTTATTTATATACCATCCTTTCTCTTAATCAGAAATTTACCTCGTTTACGTGTCCCAGGATGCATTGTGCTGTTCAGGTATGTGACCGCACTCTTCTTGCGCTTTATAAAAGATAGGAACAAAGTAGTTATTAAGAGTTTTTGTTAACTGAAAACTCTAGAATCACAAATGCATATCCATATATAACACAAACAAACATGCATTACTACTTAAAATCTTTTCTAAAGGTTCAAGTAAGTGCTTAGGTTTTTTTTAAAGAATGTATTCATTATCTATTGTATTACTAGACAACCAGCTCCAGAGAAGCTAGACTTTCATGAAAACACTGACAGAAAGCAACAGAGTTAGATCCACTGGCCACAAGAGAATGATTTCATACTAAATCTTCCGTCATTCTACAACTAGTATATAGATTCCATAAATGTATCAGAGCACCCCAGAATTGTCTACTTAGTTTTCTAGTATCTTTGTGGGTGGGCCTGGCTATACCATTAGGCAATGCCAGGAGCAAATGCTGCAGCACACAGAGTAGCAGTTGAGTGTTGGAAAGTCTTTTAAGGCAAATCTGGCCTTTCCTATTTCTGGATGGGTAGATGTAAGAGCACCAAAGCAAATTCTTTTCAATCAGGTTTTATTTCTAATGTATAAATAAGAGATTGCTACCTCAGGCTCAAAAACAGCTCCACTGTAAACTGGATTTGCTGTGGTTCTTCGTTTTCTTTCTTGTCTCTTACTTTGTATTTCTTGGGGAAAGAAACAATTTGGTCAAAAAACAAAAGCACTTCCAAGCACATAAGATTCTGTCCTAGAGTCTGAGCAAACTAGGAGTCAGAATCTATCATTTCTGATATTCTTTGTACAAAAATAATGCTAAAGAAACATCTGTACTACATAAAATAGCATGAAAATATATAAGTAAAGTAAGCATGATACTGATTCAACTTAAAAGATTGCTGCCTACATCTTCAAAACTCTCATTTTATATTTTTATCAACAACATGAATCACACAAAATTTGTAACTAGCAATTAGTGCAAGATTCATTATAGCGTATGAAATTTTGCCATGAATATTGCAAATTAATGACGGCAAAGAGCATTAAAGCCAAAATCAACGGCTACAGAGAAGTGTAAAAATTTAGTTTAATATATGTCTCAACTCTTTTCCATGCAATAAATTCATATAGGTTACAAATGTACAACAAAGGATTAGAATCTTAAAAACTGTAAACAAGTACATAGAAAAATGCATCCAACTATATGTAAACATTTCATTCACTGTCATTTAAGAGTAAATGAAATTAATTACTGAAATATTTTAACAGGTCTTAAATTTAAGAAACCTTTTTTATCAAACATATCTGAAAACCAGATTAGATTCAGGTTCACCTATTAAGTCAGTTTTTTAAATCTATGTTGCAAGCCATAAGACATTCCTGTTTTCAACCATAAGAGAACATACACTTTATCATGTTTGAGATTTTCTTAGAATATGTCAAGAATATAGTCTTTCCTGTGTAGTATAAAACTGTCCCACTAAATTCCAACCTTTCTTTGAAAGTAAACCCAATAAAGTGAAATGAAGCTTCCCCCTATAAATGGGTCTTGATATTTTATTAGTTAAAAAAGCAATGAAAATGCATCCTGATTATCTTTTTACCTTCCAGATGGTCATGTGTAACAAGTCCAAGAGAAACCATAAAGGCAAGTTTCTGAATCAGAGAAAGAAAAAATTGAAATCACACAGTATTATAGAAAATCAAATGAGCTAATACAATATTCATTTCTTAATACTAATGATTCTTCAACAATATGCATCAACAATGTATCTCAAAATTATGGCAAAAATCATAACGGTAACCATGCATCTTGACACAATAGTTATATTCTCTGAACAAACAGGAGTTAATAAATCTAATTCTGGTGATTTAGGACACTTAAGACAGTTTCATGGATCGTACAGCAATTTACTCTCTAGAGTATTATCTATTATCTATACCAACCTTGTAAAGTGTAGGCAACATATTTCTTTAAATACTCATGACCTCAGTCAACCAATTCAGGTATGTAATAATTTTAAAGCTATAGAGATGGAAGTGTATACTTCACATTATATAATGCTCCACATTGTATTTAATATTTGTGATCACTCAGAAAACACAGCTGCAACATAAAATATAGCATTATTCTTCTTTTAAACCATTTTAGAATTTAAGTTCAAATTCTCAAAATTAGCAGTGCTCTTGGATTTCTTTTTAACCATCTTTGGTTTATTACATGTTTAACATGGAGATTACACTGAAAACATGAGAACCAAGAGAATAAACTACAAAAGTGCTAGCAATAACATTAGGATTGTAACTGCTTGTAGGTTCCTCTGAGCTTGTTCAGACGTAGCTTGCCTCCAAATTTTAGTGGGCTGAAGGATAATCAAGATTAATCCTTGCAACAGGAAATTCTTTCACCTTGATGCAACCCACATGACAATAGTAAATGAAACTAACTTAAGGCCTGTTATGTATTTACATTTTAAAAATGTGTTGAAGTGAGGAGAAAATCCTGCAATGACTTATATTTTTATTACATGTATATTCCTTCTATCCTTTGGGAGCTCTGAGCAGCATATTTCAAATTTCCCCTTATTTAATCATCACAAAAACCCTGTGAGGTAGGTTGGCTTGAAAGTGGCCTCAAATTACTCATTTCTTCAACTTCATAGCCAACTGGGGATCTGAATCTGGGTCTCCTTGGACTCATTCCACCACTGAATAAAGGCAAATTACTGTTTTAAAATTGCAGTTTTTGTGCACTATTCTTTTTTGTAAAAGCCTCTGAACAGAATAATGTAGATGTATTGTTAAAATATATGGCAAGAGTGATGAAACTGCTTGTATCTAGACAGCTTTGAAACCCTTCTGTATTATGCAACGTAAGAATTCTTTATTTTCAGGTTCTCTGGGAAAACTTGTATGACTTTTATAATTCTACCAACTTAAAAATAGCAAGTAAAGATTTTTTTTCCTAAAGTACTTGGACAGAAAATGGTATTAATACTCCAGACCAGCATATTGTAAATTATTCCTTCAGAACATTTCATGCAATGCAGAAGGAATTCGGATTGCCTAAAATTGGTGAATGACAATATAGTCATCTTTTGATATTCAATCAGGTGTAACAGCTTCTGAAATTATTTGTTGTATTAGAAGACTCTGAACTCTGTTTATTTTTACAGACTGCTGAAGAATAATACTAAAGTAGGTATTTGCAACCAGTATTAGTAAGAAATATATTTTGAGAGTACTGAGTTCAAACATCTTATCTTAACATCTTAACCAAATCAAAGTCTCTGGAAGTGGAGTGGCAATACATAAATAAATGCCTTGTGTTTTAAAGAATGTTAAATATTTTTCTTGTGACCTTAAGGTAAAACTAGCTCCTCTAAAGCTTCCTGTTCATGTTTATTGGACACCTCAGCAGATGTTTAAGAACGATTGGGTGTCAACTTTTTTATGCTGGAGATGTAATTATATCTCAGGGGACTGTAATGCATATGGTTACTCTAACATGCATATTATTGTTAATCTGACTTTACAAAGAGAAATAAGGTTTAAAGATGTTAATGGGATATTATTTTTCAAAAATTTGGAATGTATCCATTTATGAAGAACTTTGGGCTTACTGAGTTTGGAGTGCGCTGTTGAAAAGAAATGATCACTCTGGATTTACAATCCTGGATTAAAGAAATGTGTTCACCCTTAGCTTTTGACCTGGCTATTTATTAATGTAATGGAATAATTATCAATATGATTCTGTGTAAAGAGGTTTTCAAAACTGAGTCATTTCATGTATTTATTATATACATGTTACATTTGTTTTCCTTTTTATTTATTATTTTTTGTTTATTTTTGTTTGGATTTTTCTATTATTCTCTATCTCGTAATTTTTCTTTTTTCCCTCTCTGTATACTCCATCAATGAAGAATAGAATCATAGAATGTAAACACTGGAGGCAATCTGGGGGATGATTTAGTTTAACCTCCCACCCAATATAGTAATGCACTACTACAGCATCTCTGACAGATAGCCATCTAACCTTTGTTTAACCATAGCTGGTGAAGGATAGTCCACCACTTCCTGAGGAAGTTATTCCATTGTTGAACAGTTCTTACCATTAAGAATTTTTTCCTGATGTCCAATCAAAATCCACCTCCTCATAATTAAAACTTATTGTTTCTTGTTCTGTCTTCTGGAATGATTCTGAGTAATTTTGTTCTATCTTCTACAAGACAGCCCTTTGGATTTTTGAAGCCAACTACCATGTCTCCCTATAGTCTTCTCTTCTCTAACCCCAACCTAACCCTAACTCTTCTCCAGGGTTAAATATCCAACAGCTCCAACTGTTTCTTGTACGTTTTTTCCTTCCAAGCCCTTTATTATCTTGGTTGTTCTCTCCTGAACACATTCCAGTTTTCAACGTTTTCCTAAATATGGTGTCCAGACCTGGACAAAATATGCTAGGTGAGGTTTTAACAACACAGAACAGAGAGGAACAACTTCTACTGATCTTGACACTATATTTTGTTGATACAACCTTGGACACATTTTTGCAGCTGGGTCATGCTGGTAGCCAATGTTCAGTTTGTCAACCAAGACATCCAGATCCTTTTCACAAGAACTGCTGTCTGGTATGCCCCCCCCCCCATACTTACTCTTTCTTTTTTCCCACCCAAATGTAGGACTTAACATTGGTTTCTGTAAAAGTTCCTTTTTCTGAATTGTCTACTGTTCCAGTTTGTCAAGGTCTTCCTGAATTCTCATACTGTTATCTAAAGTGGTTCCTATTCCCTTTACCATTGCACCAGCTGTAAATCTGATGATCCTATTTTCTAACCCCTTATCCAAATCATTTATAAATATGTTGAACAGTGCTATGCCTAAAATGAAGCCCTATGATACAGTGCTCAACACTACTTTCCAATGTGACAAAAAGCCACTGACAAACACTTGTTGGTATATAATTGTTCAATCAGTGGTACATCTAACAGAGCATGTTGTCTTCTTATCCACTAGAATCTTATAGGAGAATTTGCTGAATGGCTTGCCAAAGTCAAAATACACTATGTATACAACATTCCTATGGTCAACTAAACTGGTCATTCTTACCCAAAAAAACTGATCAGGTTGGTTTGGCATGATTTATTATTAATAAAAATGCTGGCTCTTGCCAAGCAATGCATTCTTTCCTAAATGCTCACAGTCTGCTTAATAATCTGGTCCAATGTTCTGTCTGACATCAGTCTGAAGATGACTGGTTTGCAGTTAATCAGGTCTTGTTTTTCCCCTTTTTGACCTCCAATTTTCTGCATGATTTCTTAAAGTTCAAGATGGAGGCCCCAAGATGATATCCACAAGCTTCTTCAAGTCATCTTAGATGTAACTGATGTGGTCCTAGATATTTAATTTGTTCATGGTGGCCAGGTGCTCTCTAACTATCTCTTTACTTATCTTGGAATGCTTTTAGAATGCTTATATCCATTTAAACACATTACCCTTTGTAGAGGATTCTGAAGTAAAGCAGAAGTTAAGAAACAGTGTCCTCTTCCCATCTACTATCTTCTCCTAGCAATGGGCCTCCTCCTCCTTTTTCTTGCTTTTACTTCTCACATAGCCAAAGGAGCCCTTTTTATTGCTTTTAGTTTCCCTTACAAGCCTTTCTTTCTGCAGATACCAGCTATTTGCTGGTCCCTTCCTTGGTGACCACACCCATTTTCATTTCCCGTATATGTCTCTTTTAACTATTAGCTCCTTATGCATCCGCACGTTCCCTAAGCTGATACCCATTTTTTTCTACAACAATTATTTTAATGTTTTATTTTTGAGATGTTCCCAACCCTCATCCATACCCTTTGACCTCGGGATTTCTGTCTATGGGATTTTGCCTAGTACTTTTCTAACTTTATTAAAGTACAGGTAGTCCTCACTTAACCACTTGTTTAGTGACTGTTTGAAGTTACGACAGCGCTGAAAAAAGTAACTTACGACCATTCTTGCACTTACAACCATCACAGTGCCCCCGCAGTCACACAATCATGATCCAGGCATCCTGGGGTCACATGATTGCCATTTGTGATCTTCCCAGCTGGCTTTGGGCAAACAAAATCAATGGGGAGCTGCGTGATTCACTTAACTGTGCAATTTGCTTAACAACCACATGATTCACTTAACAACTGTGGTGATTTGCTTAATAAGCACTGCAAAAAATGTAGTAAAATCAGGTGCAGTCACATGATGCCTCGCTTAATGACCGCCCCACTTAATGATGAATTTTCCAGTCTCTATTGTGGTTGTTAAGCGAGGACTACCTGTAGCTCTCATTGCTTTTACTTCTTCAATCAACTTTTCTTAACTGGCTAGGATCAAATCTAGAAACATTAATCCTAGAAGGCGTCTTTCAACCTTCTGGAAAATGAAATGGCCAGCAAGATCTCTTAAGGAATTTTTGGGATCTTGCAGTTTTGGCTGAGTTGGTTTTTCAACATAGGTCTGGACAGTTAAAAGTCTCCATTTTTACTATCTCTTTCCTCCCTGAAAGTTGTGTGCCCTGACCTGTCTGGCCTGGTGCTATAACACATTTCCACAGTAATATTTTGGTTATTTCCCCTTCTTTATATTCTTACTCAGATGCTCTCAACTATATTCTCATGCCCAAAATT